GTTCAGATAGAAAAGAGAACAGAAAAAAAGGAAAACTCGCAGAAATAAAAATACCAAGAAGAAATTAAAATTTACAGAAGAGGATGAAGCTAAAATTGAGACAATTTTATACCTTGATATAGCAGAAGATAAAGAAGCCAAGTGTTAATAACAGCCTTTACATTTTTATCAGAGGTCTCTCAAATCTCCATTATTTTATAGTTTGGAATATTTTAAGAACTAACTATAAATGCAAGTTTAATTTCTCTAAAAACACATTAAGAAAAGGTATGAAAATCATCCTCTTCATCATTATTTTGTGTCCAAGAAAACAGTGGACAGTTGAATCAAGGGAGATGTGGGGGATTTGAATTTGCCACCCAAGATATGTCTCTTTGGCATGAGGATTATTTTGGGCTGGTTACTTTTAAAAACTGCAGACATGAGATAACCTCTGAAAAGTAGAAGTTACCTTTTGTAAAAGACATTTAAATTTGTAAGGGAGCTCTCCATCTGTAAATGTGTATCCCTCTCTGTACCAGGAAATGGGGGGATGACTTTACCTTAAAAACTCTTATCAATGCAGAAGGCAAGGACTTAAATCTGCATAATAACCTTACTCTTGTTTGTTGTACTTTTCTGGTAATCTCACATAACTGACTCCCTCCATCCCCAACATCCTCCTTTGTAGCTGAAGATAATGTTTAAGGTGAGAACATCTGCCATTTTGGTGAGTTGCTCCGTTTTCCTGAATCTCTCTCATGTATACATGTTATGAAGCACTGTTTAATTTTCTCCTGTTATTCTGTCTCATGTGTATTTAATTCATAGCCCGGCCAGAAGGACCCAGAGTGGGTAGAGGAAATATCTTCCAACCCTACAGAGGTTTCAGCTGTCTTGATATGAACTTCAAATTTATTTACCAGGAGAACCAGTTTTAACATCCTATAAATGAAATATGTCACAAAAAGCAATTTGGAGTCATACATCTGCATATAAAATATCTTAAACATTTTAAAAACCTATCTTTTATATCCATGTTTTAGTGCATTGTTTCCTATATAAAAGTGTTCTTTTGTCTTAGACATTCCCCTGGGAATTCTGTATGGAGGTCAAATTATCCTAACAAGAGATCTCTAATAAGCAATCCAATTTACACCTCAAAAATTAGAAAAAGAACAAAGTAAGCCCAAAGTCTCTAGAAGGAAGGAAATAACAAAGATTAGAGCAGAAATATAGCAAAACAACAGAAAAAATTGACAAAATCAAGAGTTGGATTTTTGAAAAGAAAACTTTCATGATGTTGATTCTGGCAATGATCATGGACACGACACTGAAAGCCCAGGGACAAAAGCAAAAGTTCACAGGTGGAACTACATTCAACCAGGGAGCTTCTGCTGAGCAAAGGAAATCACCACAGCATGGAAAGTCAAACTATGGAATGGGAGAAAATCTCTACAAAACGCATAATAATAAGGGGTTCATATCCAAAACATATAAAGAACTCCTACAACTTAGTGGTTATAAAAACAAACTGATAAAAAATAGACTAAGGAGTAGAATAGACATTTCTCCAAAAAAGACATACAAATGGCCACCAAGTATGTGAAGAAGTGTTGTTTTAGGATGTGGAGATAGTGGAACCCTTGGACACTGTTGAGGTGAATGCAAAAAGGTGCAGCCACTATGGAAAACAATATAAAGTTTCTTCAAAAAATTAAAAATAGAATTACCATATGATCCAGTAATTCCACTTCTTAATATTTATCCAAAATAATTGAAATCAGCATCTCTAAGAGATATTAGCATTCCTATGTTTATTACAGCACAATTCACAATAGCCAAGATGAATAAACAACTTAAGTGTTTAACAAAAGAGGAATGCATAAAGAAAATGTGATATGCACACACAATGGAGTACTATTCAGCCTGAAAAAAGGAAATTCTGCAATATGCAACAAGATGTATGAGCCTTGAGGACACTACTCTGACTGAAATAAGCCAGTCACAGAAAGAAAAATACTGTATGGTGCCATTTAAATAAGGTATCTAAAATAGTCAAATTCATAGAATCAAAGAGAGGAATGGAGGTTACTTTGAGCTACAGACAGGGGGTAATGAGGAGGTAGTAATCAACAGGCATTAAGTCTCACTCAAGCAAGATGAAAGCCGTAGAGTTTTGCAGTACAACACTGTACCCATAGCCAACAATAATGTATTGTACATTTAAAATTTTGTTAAGAGGACATATCTCATCTTGTATTGTTTACACATTACAATAAAATTAAGTTTTAAAAAATGAGATACCACTGCACACCTATTAGAGTGACCAAAGTCCAAAACAAAATCCAAAATCCAAGGGCATAAGCAAGAAATGACCCAAGTCAAATTTGTCTTACAAAAGAGCTAAACTAAGCTTTGGTTGTATGACCAAACTCATCTTGTCTGCTCAGAGAATATTCAAGGCTAGTCTCCATTTAGTTTTGATTTTAACACTGACAAGGATGTCTAACAACAGGAGATCTCTTTCATGGCCGATGGGACTGAACAATGGTCCAGCCACTTTGGAACACAAGTGTAGCAGTTTCTTACACTGCTACACAAGCTCCTACTATGTGATCCACCAATTACAGTCTGTGCTGTTTACCCAAATGAGCTGAAAACTTATATCCACACAGAAACTTGCACATGGATGTTTATAGCAGCTTTATTCATAATTGCCAAAACTTGGAAGCAACCAAGATGCCTTTCAGTAAATGAAAGGATAAATAAACAGTGGTACTTCTAGACAATGGGACACTATTCAGGGATAAAAAGAAATGACCTATCAAGCCATGAAAAGACATGGAGGAAGCTTAAATGCATATTTCTAAGTGAAAGAAGCCAATCTGAAAAGACTACATACTGTATGATTCCAATTATATGACATTCTGGAAAATGTAAAACTATGGAGTCAGTAGACAGATTAGTGGTTTCAAAGAGTTAGGGGAGGGAGGGAAAGAAAAATTTGAAAAAGACTAACTGATAAGCAAAAGTGAAAAAGCTTAGTAATATACAAGGTTTGGAGGGAAAATTTTTATGGCTCTTAATTTATCAAAGATCAATTTTCTTCTGCTTTTGGAAAGTGATCTTTGCTTATTATTCAGGGTTGTGGAGAGCATGGGTGTTCTGTTACCTCTACATTTTCTCACTTCCTCTTCCTGTTTTAATCACCTCTCCTCCATCAATACCCTTAACACACACAGACACACAAACACACACACACACATACATGCTCAAGCATGGGCAAACCATCTTCCTCAATTATTCAAAGATAATTGGTGTTTCTATTTTCTAAACTTTCCATGAGGCTACAGGACACACGTTGCGAGGCTTCTTGTTGGCTTCTGTCACACCAGGCCTGGGTTTCTTTGTTATCTAGTCTGTTATACAAGTTTTCATTTCTACATATATTCCTCACTTTCTAAAATCTTGTTGACATCACTGTCTGCTGTCATCTCCTTTTCTGCTCTCTTTGTGTTTGAAGGTTTATATACCTTTTATTTTTTTTTATTTTCTTTATAGAAGAGTTTCACAGGAATACAGAGATAAATGTATGTTATTAATCTACTATGTTTATCCAAATGTATGAGAACATTTTTATTATATAAAATTTTGTATTTTTTAAAGTATATTTGACATGTATTTATATCTATTGAGGTTTAAAAATAAAATTTACACTTTAAACCAATTTAATAAAGATTAATTAAACTTACACCAAGAATATATATCTAATATGTAAGAAAATGTACTGACATTATGATCATAACCCATTCATAACATCAACAAATACAGCCTCTAAGAAAACATAAAAAGAAAAAAATACTTTCATGAAGATGTAAAAACGAGAAAAAGAAAAATATTTTAGAAAGAACAGACATTTCAAAGCCAGTAACATTTGCAGTCATTCTCATCATAACAGCCACTGCAGAATCAGAGAACATGCATCAAATCCCTCACTCCTGTGCCCAAATCTTTCTCCCAAGCAAGACAAGTCCTCAGTGTGTCAATATACAAGTATTAATTAAATAAGATTGCATCAGTATTTGCAAAGACCAACAGTGTATTTGCTGTGCAATCCAGAGATTGAATTTTTTTATTATTCTTTTCGCCACACCATCTTCTTTTACTCCTGTACCTTCTCCCAATCTCATGATTCTTCTCCCTCTGTGAGAAGTCAGGAGTTACAGAAATCTATAAGATTTCCCCCAGTCAGTGTCCCTATTTATATTGCTACGAAAAAATTCTGTCCAAAAGCATTTTCTTTCATCTTCCTTCATTGGCATTGAGAACTGCCTCATTTGAGGTCTTATTGTTAGAAAACCAACTGATGTAGTTAACCGGCCAGGAGTAAGTTGAGAGGCACTGTTCAGCAGTTAGACACGACTCATTTCCTCAATTATGTTCTCAGTCCATCTCCTTCATTTTGAATATGAGCCTGTCTCTAGTATCTGATTGACCAAAGAAAGAAACTAGAATAAACATCCCTTTCCTTTCTTTCCATTGTTCAGTTACATATGAGATTCTATTTCTTCTCCTATATTCTTTGCATTTCTTTTTTAATCAAGAAGCTGATTTGGGGGCCTGTATCTCTCCTATCATCTCTTCCATACTCTGTCAGGAAGATATTGTGCAAACACCACCTTCTCTGGCACACACTGGCTCTCTAAAAGTATAACAAGACAAGTCAATACCCACCAGGGTGGCCTGCAACAACTTTGTTCCGTACGGATGTGCACAGACACCACTTCATTCTTTATGTGGTTTCACTTTGCAATTACCTTGCCCTGGATGAGCAACTATTGGTGTCACACTGTTTTCAGGTTTGCTAATGAAGAGTTGGGTGTGAGGAATGTGCACTTCTTGTCCTTATGCTCTAGCCATTTGTGTGATTTTTGTATCAACCAGAGACTGAGGGAAAACAACTATAGACTATGATGAAACTGGAGTTGATCAAACAGTCAGAGACACTCAGCAGCCAGGCCCCTTGTTGCTGCTCACAGTTTGTGCTCAGCTCCCCCTGCAGTTCCTGTCACTGTGTCACCCAGTACACAGTAGTACATAGCCGAGTCTGACTCTTGGACAGAGGCTTTCTCCAAGTGGAAGGAGGTGCTTTCTTCATTGTATAAGGCTTCAAAACCGTCATTTCTTCCCTTCTCACCAGCCTTCGTGGCTCTCAGGAGGAGCTGTGGACCTTTTCCAGGATATTGAACATACCACAAAAGAGTGGGGTACCCGGTGGTTGAGTAAGTACAGTCCATCGTCAGGAAAGCCCCTTCTGAGAGGGTCACTGGGCCTTCCATCTGATTCACTGAGTTTCCATGAGTTTGTCCTTGGGAAAAATAAAAGAGATCTGTGTCAACTTGGTTATAAAGCTCTGGGGTAAAATTATGATTAAAGATTTTGCTGACATGACAGAAGAAAAATCCAAATTTTAAGAGATATTTTACCTACCAAGCATTAAGAGTACCACAGTTACTAAGCCTGGAGCAGAGTTCATCTCTGGAGTATTGTCTAAGTAACGTTCTTGATTCTTAATGCGAAGAAATGTTGAAGTCACAGAGAAATGATACATGAAAACCTATATTTCACTCAGGAAATGTGCTTGTGTTAGGAAGCTGCCCCCCCTGGTGGACAGGGACTGAAATGGGATGCATGTTTCCTAGACTTCTCAAGTCAGAAAGATGTTCTCTTCCCTGATATCATTTATAGGGCATATATCAGTCTTCAGATGGCCCTTGTGAATCTGAATAACAGCTATCATAACCTTTAATGCTGTTTTGCTACTATCATAACCTTTTAATGCTACTGAAAACACCATCGGACATGGACATTTTTTAACAGAGCATCCCAGGATGTTTCTGCAACTGAGAAGATGTCAGTTTTCTTGAGTACTTTAATATCGTACTAAATATTCTCATGGATCCTTTGTGAGCCAGGCTTTAATCCATGAGAGTGTCAGAAAAGAGTTTTCAGTTGTAGTCAGAGGAAAAGTTAAGAAGTAAAGTTATTATCGAAGAATTCTGTGTTTTTTATCAGTGTAACCCAACATATAGAACAGTGACTGATATTTATTATGTGCTCACTAAATATTTGTTGAATTAAACAACAATAATAAACAGTCTTTGACATTGGAATCCCTACTACTTGAAATACAGTATTTTCTCAGTCCTTAGTTATACCAACTGTAAGGGATGCTATCTTCTTAATAAAAACTTTTAGGAGAAAAAGTTACATTACCTTACAAATAGTCAAATACTCCTAAATTCTAGAATCTCAGAAAAGTAAAAAATGTGAATTCTAGACAGAAACCAACAACATGATTGAAATTACTGAATCCCTATAGAATGAACTTAGATCAATACCTTATTCTCTGACTTTTCATTGACTCTCAGATGACGTGGCTAGCCTGTGTGAATCAGGAATTGAGTACTAATCTCACACTCAACGGAGACAGAGCCTCAAGGATGCTTTCTGCTATGGTCTGTCTGCCAACATTTTGGTGCCGAAGTCTAACCAAACAATTTTCCTCCACAGAGTAGGAAACCCAGAACATATGAATTTGCATTAAAACCCTAGAGCAAAGTTAAGACTCTCTTTTTTCCTAGCTTTTCAAATTGTTAAGACATATCAGCTGATATTCATGTGGCAGTTGATAGCAGAATCAACATATGATTGATTCAAAATTACAGATTCTGGAATCCCACCACTAACTTCATGAATCATATTTTCTAAGATTCAGACCCACTAAGTTGTAGTTTTAAGAGCTCCCCAGATGGTTTTGTTGCAGCTAGCCTGATACCGATTTGTAAGACTTCATTTGTGATGACTGTCCTAGACCAAGATGGTCCTCAAAGATCAGGGAGAAAGCTCTGGAATCAGCATAAGAAAATGTTACCCAATTACACCAAATTTTAAAAAGTTAGTCTTTTTCTATGAAGTACCAGCAACAAAAGCAAGCACTTTTTTAACTCACGTTTTTATTGAAGTATAGTTGACTTAATATATTATACTAGTTTCAGGAATACAACATGGTGCTTCAACATTTGTATACATTATGAAATGATCACCATGGCAGGTCTAATAACCATCTGTCACCATACAAAGTTATTACAATATTATTGACTACACTCCCTATGCTATACTTTATGTTCTCATGACTTATTTATTTTTTATGACCATTCATTTTGTAAAACAAAACAAAAACCTCTGAGCATTATCAGGATAAAGTTCTGGAGAAGGACATATCTTTCTTAAGGCTCTGTAAACATTTATTCCTAAACATATAGATGGAAGCTTAGGTAGGGCTGTTTCCTGGAGTTCACTCTCCACAGATTCAGATCAGAAGCCTTCGTGAGAACAAAGTCCACATGTGAATAGTCTCCCAGATGTGGACTTAAGTAAGAAATTCACGCCCGGATACTGCTCAAGTTCACATATCCTTTCTCTTCTCCCAGACCTTCCAGATCACATTGTCAGAACCTGGCACAAAACTATACTAGAAAAGAATTCTGGAAAAGCAGCTACAAACTTCTATTCTTATATACAGGGAAGAATGCAAAATAGGTTGGGATGATACTGGGTTGCAAATAAACAATATAGCACATGGATGTGGAAAGTCATTATCTAGACTTTAAAAAAAGAAAACAATTTGAGGCCAATGAGAGACTGCAAGAGGAATATTTACTTTTTGGGTCACACAACAGGACTTGTACAACATAGAGGGGGACATCAGTTAAATTTGGATTTTTTAATGGCTTCATGGATGTATAATTTTGATAAAAATAAACTACACCTATTTAAAGTGAACAATCTTAAAAGATTTGACATTTGTATATACTTGTGAAGCCATGACCACAATCAAGATAATGAGCCTTGTGCATCACCCCTAAGGTTTCCTCACATCTCATCCTCTCAACCTTCTCCTTACCTCCCTCCCCCTTTTCCAGTGAATACCTCCATCATCATAAACTAGTGTGCATATTTTATAATGTTGCATAAATAGAACCATATGTAGTATTTCTGACACATTTCACTCAGCTTATGAGATTTCCACAGCCTTATAAGTATCAATGATTACTTTATATTTGTTGTCCAAGTATTATTCTATTATATAGACGTAAAACAATTTGCTTTTTTATTCACCTGTTGATGTCTATTTCAATTAGTCCCAGTTTGAGGCTGTTACAAATGAAGCTGCTATCAACATAAGTGTAAATTTTCTGTTGGATACATGCTTTCACTTCTCTTGAGTAAATATCTGGGAATGGAATAATTGGATCATATGCCAGTTGCATATTTGACTTTGTTAAATGTAGTCATTCTAGTAGATTTTTTTCTTGTAGATTCCTTGGATTTTCTACTCAGACAATTATGCTGTCTATGATTAAACATTGCTTCTCTTCCTCCTTTCCAAACATAAGTCTTTCATTTCTTTATCTTTCTTTATTGCACTGGCTAAAATCTCTAGTAAAATATTAAATAGAAGTGGTGAGAGCCAAAATTTCCTCCTTGAAGCTGAAGTGAAAGCATTGTCTTTCATCATCACGTATGACATTTGATGTAGGTTTTTTGTAGAGGCCCATTATTAAGTTGAGGAATTTCCCTTCAATTCCTAATTTGCTGGGATTTTAAAATCAGGAATGGATGCTGGATTTGTCAAATGCTTTTTCTGTACCTACTGAGGTTAACTTCATTCATTGATCATCAGCTACTGTTACCAAACCGGGTTCGTTTTGCCCACTGCATGATTATGCCAACAGCAAGATGAGAAGTCTGCAACAGATAAAGGGTTTAATTCACAAGGCAGCCAAGAGAGGAGACGGGAGAACAAATGTCAAATTCACCTCCCTGAAAAATGATAATTAGGGATGTTTATGGGATAAAGGCAGGATGGTCTGAAGTTTGCACATAGATGATTGGAGGTAAAGAGAAGTGAGGTAATTGATGATTTATGCAAGCATAGTCAAGCTTCATTGCTCTTCTTAGGATGCATGTTCAGAAAATGGTGATATTATCTTGATCTGAAGGTGGACTTTTCAGCTCCTTGATGTCAAATGGTCACCTATTGGTCATTTGTGTAGGCCAGTTGATGAGTCAGTGGACTTAATCAGACTGAACTAGACAAGGATTCAAGTCTCTGTTCCTGAAAAACTCAAGCACCCGGTACCATGGTGACCCAAAGGCGAGAGCTGTTATCTATAGAGTGGGTTTTAGTAATGCATTATCTAGCCACTTTTGCAAAAAGACAACTAACTGAGTATAATTAAAGCAAGTTGGCCTAGTCAATCTCTTTGGATATATTATTGATAATTGTCACAACAAATATTAAAGAAGACATCATTCTCTCAATTTCCAAATAATGAAACACATCTCACAAGTGTTTAGCAAGTAGGTTGCAAAGCTAATACTTTTGAGCAGAGATCTCTCTGCTGGGAAAACCCACATTCTCTGTTTTTAACACTATGGGTAGTTCTAAGAAAACATTGAGAAACAAGGTAGATGGTAGCAAAATTACCCATTCTCAAGCCCTTGAAATATTTTAAGACAGTGCATTAACAGGTTCTGTATCCATTCAAATCAATATATTGGAGAAATAATTAAATAATTGTAGGTTTGACTCCTTCACCAAAAAATGCAAAAAAAAAAAAAAAAAAAAAAAAACATATAAAGGATACACAAACTATAACTCAGGAGCTGAACAGCAGTTAGTGGCATGAGTATTCCTTTCAGAACAATTATTATGCACCTGACTTGAGCAATGCAATGTAGAAAGGGTAAGAAACTCTTCTAGGCTTTTGTCAACCACCAGGGTACTGGGGCGTCATTCATGGCCAGTGATCAATCTCTCAACTGTTGAAGCTTGCTTGTGATAAAGCAGTCTAGAACATGGTTGTTCAAATTATCCAGTATAAGTATTTCTCATAAATGAGATTATAGCTTGGTCTTTCCTGTATGACTACAATATTTAAATCATGGTTTGGCCGTCATGTAACTGATCATAGTTATGAAGCTTTATTTCACAAGGTTATAGAGTGTTAAAGGCAGAAATGAGAATAATTTTCAGACACACTCCAGGAAACTGAAGAGTCTATACATCCTATAAATTTGAACCATAGTTACTGGTCCAACACTTTCTAGAATAAATCTTGGAGCATCCACAATATAAGACAAATACATAAGCAGTAATATGGAAGCCAAGACTTACATATAACTATGGTTGAGTAGACTCCTCGTTTTCCCCTTATTCTGACAGAAATCATCAAAATTCAACAAGTAAATTAAAGAAAATAAACAAACATTAAATCTATAATTTTAATCCAATTAAGAGAGAGAATCTGAATGTTTCTAAAAGCTGCCAAATTCAGATTAGCTTACACAAATACACATGTACTGAACAGGTACAATGAATCATCTCAGATCCAAAGAAAACTGTTCCAAATAAGATCCATCAAGCATGTCTTGAGTACATATTCAAGTCTTTTAAGATTTGGTAATATGAAAAATTACATTATACATTTTCAAATATTAAAATAATTTTTCCATTCCTGGAATAAACTCAACTTAATTATGTTGAGTTTCATTTCATGTGTGTGTATTTGTCTCTCCTCATCTTTTTTCCTAGATTATAATAGTCTTCTAGTTTTTTTCAAAATATCAGATTGTGGTTTTTATCATTGATTTTATTTTCCTTTGACCAATCAATTCCTATTTTTATCTTTAATCCCTTTAATCTGTTTATTTTCATGTTGTTTTATTGTTCCTTTTCTAATTTCTTGAGTTGTATGCTGAATTTATTCAGTATTAGTTTTCAGTGTTTAGTGAAAATATATCAACTGGAGCCAAATGACCTGAGTTTAAGTGTTGGACCTTTCATTTACTAGATTTGTGATTGAGGTAAAACTTAATGTTGCAGTTTCTATAATATGAAAAACAGAATGAACCTTGTTTTCTCCTGGTGTATATTCTCAATTAATAGGTAAACATTGCTTAAAAATCAGTATTCAATTACAAATTCTGCATCTTGTTCAACACATCATCATATATTAGAATATTTATTTTTAGAAGGATATCATCTTTTCACATCTCACTTTTTAATTAAATTTTGAAGTGAACTGATACATTAAAGATATAAAATGATTGCATTATGGAGTTCATACTCCTATATATGCTTGAAGATGAGTACTTGAGGTATATGAGACAAATACCCTGTTCCCCACTCAACTGTCACAACACCTGAAATAGCATCCTTTAAAAACGCTTCCCCTTAGTACTAACAAATGAATTCAGCAAAATTGCAGGACACAAAAATAGCATGCAAAACTCAAGCTGCATTTCTATCCACTAATAATGAACAATCTGAAAAAGAAATAACTCCATTTACAATAATATAAAAAATAATAAAATGTTTAGGAATAAACTTAACCAATAGGGTTAAAGAATTGTACACTGAAAACTACAGAACATTGCTGAAAGAACCTAAAGAAAACATAAATAAATGTAAAGGCATCCTGTGTTCATGGATTGGAACACTTAATATTGTTAATACATCAATACTACTGAAAATGATCTGCACGTTCAATGCAATCCTTATCAAAATCCCAAAAGTGGTCTTTGTAGAGACATAAAAATCTATCCAAAGATTCCTGTGGCATCTCCAGGAACCCAAATAGCCAAAATGATCTTAAAAAAGCAGAGTAAAGTTGGAGTCTCACACTTCTTGACTGCAAAATTTATTACAAACCTACAGTAATCAAAACACTGCGGTGGGGGCATGAAGAAAAAATCTAAGCCAATGGAGTAGAATAGAGAGCTCAGAAATAAAGGATCAGATTAATTTCAACAAGGGTCCCAAGCACATTTAATGGTGAAAGGACAGTCTTTTCAACAAGAAGGGTTAGGAAAATGAAATCCATATCAAAAGAATGAAGTTGGACCCTTAGTTATACCATACACAAAAAGCAACTCAAAATGGATAAAAGACCTAGGTATAGTGCTAAAACCAAAATCTCATGGAGGAAAATCTTCACGACATTGGATTTTACAATAATGTTGTGGATATGACACCAAAAGCAGAGACTACAAAAGAAAACAATAAACTGGACTACATCAAATTTAAAGACTTATGTGCATCAAAGGATACAATCGACAGAATGAAAAGACCACCTGCAGAATGGCAGAAAACATTGATAAATCATGTATCTGATAAGGGATTAATGCCCAGAATATAGAAAGAAGTCTTACAACTTAACAACAGAAAACCAAACAACCCAATTTGAAAATGCGTAAAAGACCTGAATATCCATTCCTCCTAAGATATACAAGTGGCCGACAAACACATGAAAAGATGCTAAATATCACTAATCATTATGGAAATACAAACCAATACCACAAGGGGATACCACTTCAAATCAATTAAGATGGTTAGTATCAAAAAAACAGAAAATACAAGTGATGATAAAGATGGGGAGAAATTGAAATACTTGTGCACTATTGGTGAGATGTTAAATGACAGCCATTGTCAAAAACAGTATGGAGATTCCTCAAAAAATTAAAGATAGAATTACTATAAGATCCAACAATTCCATTTCTGGATATAGATCTCCCCCATATTGGAAGAATTTGGGTAGAAACTTGAAATATGGAGATACTTTGCCCTCATGTTCATAGAAGCATTATTCACAATAGCCAAAATATGAAAGCAACTTAAGTGTCCGTCAACAGAGGAATGGATAAACAAAATGAGATATTACATACAACGGAATATTATTCAGTCTTAAAATGGAATAATTTTAACAAGGAGATTGTGACAACCTGGTACAATATGGATGAAACTTGAGGACGTTATGCTAAATGAAATAAGCCAATCACAAAAAGACAAATGCTATATGATTCCACTTATATGAGAAACCTAGAGTACTCCAATCATAGAGACAAAAAGAATCGTGGTTGCCAGGGGCTGAGGGGAAAGGAAGAGTGTGGGGTTATTATTTAATGGGTACAGTGTTTCAGTTTTGCAAGATTAAAAGAATTCTGGAGATGGATGGTAGTCATGATTTTACAATAATGTGAATGTACTTCACAACACTGAACTGTACCCTTAAAATGATTAAAATGGTATATTTGATGTTATGTGCATTTTACAAAATTTAAAAACAATTTTAAAAGTTTTTAAAAACACGCTTCCCTTTATGATTTCTACTCTACACATCTGCTTTCCAAATGCAAATATGAAGGAGTTACGCAAGATGATTTATCAACCAATTGCTACTACGCAAACTTTAGGATGCTGAGAACATAGAGTTAGAAGTGGAAGGAGAAAATACAGAGAATGAGGGTTTGGGATTGTGTAACATTGATTGAGCACAGCAGACCTGGGATGTACAGAATTAGTCACATGGTGGCATTAAAAGCTTTCGTAGGAGTGGGGAAGTGAAGGACAAGAGCAGAGAAAATAGACAATTCATACTTGGACACTTTACAATATCCCTCTTATAATCACCAATTACTGGTCATTTTGTGGATAAGACCATTAGCGGGTAGATAAATCTACATTATAAAAATTGAGCTCTTCCATGCTAAAGGTGTTAATAAGGCTATAAAATAGAATGAGCACTTAGCAGAAAGTTTGTCACACAGCAGGCACTCAAAGACTTTTTCTGAATAAACAGATATATGTAAATGATAAATAACTTTTATTAAAATATCAAGCTCCATTATTCCATTAATATGCTGCCTTCCACTTTTTAATTTCTTAACCTGAAAATTTGCGTCTCTATTCAAGAGCGAATTTTTTTTACTGTACTATCTTTTATACGTGTTGGATCAAGGTTAGGAAGCTCTGTAAAATAAAATTTCTAGTCTAGATAGTAAGAATACATTAAGAATTATCTGTAAATTGGAAACTAGAAATTCTTAGGTATATAATCAAGGTGATTTTGTAAATAGCCTTTTTCTACATGGAATATCAGTAAAACTGAACATAAAACAGAAAGTTCGATTAAATATGTACACATAGATGAACATGTAGGGATATAGAGAAAGTCACTTGAAGATAAAGGTAAGAAACTTCAAAATACAATGAAAAACATTAAAAGTCTGTTATGAATTGAAAAAAATAGCATTTTCCTGAATTTAAAAATGAAATAGAATAAATATTTTAAATGCTGACATTGTCATTAAATGCAATTCCAATTTTCTGGTTTTAAAATACTTTGTGTTTCCTTTCTTTTACTGGAGGGATATTTAACACGAATAAAATGAGAGGGCATTTTTCATGTTCATATTGAAAAATAAACGTGTAAAAATTTTCCCCAAAATTCTTGAAAAATGATAAGAGTGAGCAGTGATTTACCCTCACAGGTAATACATTTTCTGTAAAACTATCTTCTCAGGTTGACATAGAATGAGAAAAATAAATCAATGGAAAGAAATGAAGCATGTGGAAACATAATGAAAAGAGGAATTTAATATATTACAATGATGGTGATTCATATAAGGAGAAAAGGATGCCTTATTTATGTACATACAAAGAGGTTTATGTTTATATTAGGGAGATCTCCCACACGTCCTGCTAAGACCTCTAATTAATAATCATTTTATGGATAAGACTAGTGGGAGGAAGGTAAACTTCCAGTATGGAAATCGAGCTCTTTCATGCTAGAGGTGTTAATTTGATGGAATGAGCTCTTAACACAAAATTTGTCACATAGTAGTCACCTTAGAAAGTAAATATGAGTGCCATTGACTCACAGCAAACAAACCTAAATTAAATTAATTCTTTAACTAGTATGAAACAGTGTGATATACAAAAAGAGGATGCATACAGAGACATGTCATGGCCTTCCTTATCGAAAATATTACCTGTAACCTAATTGAAGGAAACCAGAATATGTCACCCTAAAAAATACCTCTTTGACGTAAAATTTATTTTGAGCTAAAGGCAATTAATGAGCAGTAAACAGAGAAAAGTCTCCTCCTTTTCTGCTGAAAGATTAGAAATAAATTCCCCTTTTATTGGAGAGAGACTCTGATGAGCCTAGAGATGGCACCAGAGGAGTCTCCAGACAAACCTTGTCAAACTAATCCTTATCGAAGATGATGACTGGGGGCCCTAGTTGGACTACTACCGGGCCAAACCCCTTTGTATTGGCAATTCTTCACAGATGTATTGTTTCTTTATCAGTTTAATTCTTAAGTGCAGTCAGGGACCAAAAAGTGTAGAGGAGAATTTTTCCTCACCTACATAATACAAACTCAATAAATATTTACTGAATAAATCCATCTGAAAATATAACATTCACTCATATTTTTCCTGATTTTTGGTCGTGTGTTTTTGAAATCCCTTAGTCAATTCTTCTAGCACAATCTAATTATAAAATGGCAAAGATTTTATGTGGCTGCTCTTTCTCTTCAATCTTTGGTCAAATTCTGAAGTCTACCTTCAAGCCAATGATTCAGGGATAAGGAGGTTTTTCATGAATGATAACTCTGGACATGGTCTATGAATCTGGAAAGGTATTTTCTTAGATTGGGTGCTGTCCCTCTAATCACACACCTGTGCTTCCACAGCCCTAGCAACTTTCTGTCTGTGATGGCAATTCTCTGCTTTGGTCCCTACATCAGGTGCATGTATCAGGCAGAACCCTGGGGTTTTGGTACACCTCCTCCAACACATCTCTCACTGTGGGCTCCATCAGTGCACAGAAATACACTGCAGAGTCCTCCAGCTGTGAAGCTGAGATGGCAAGGTTGATGGATTTGTTTGCCTTCTGGAAATTCAACGAATAGCGACCTTCTGTGGCATTTTGCTGGTTATAAGAGTCCTGGCGAATAAGGAAAATCATTGCCCCACTGCTAGGCTGCTTGTACCAAAATAGACTATAACGTCCATCACTGGTATCATATCTGCACTTCAAGGTCACAGCCTCCTTCTCCTGCACTAACATTGCTGGTTGGGCTTGAGTTACTTTCTGGGCAATACTGGATCCTGAAGGAAAAAACAGAGAATCAGAAGGTTTGGGAATAAATGGTGTGGGACAAAGAAATTCTATTTTACACCCTTCTACCCCTCCTTCCCAGGATACCCACTAGACACTGGCTGTACTCCTGGTCCTAAGACCAGAGGAGGCACATTTCCACTGGGGCCATTCTTACCTAGCCACGTTGAAGCCATGACCGCCTTCAGAAAGCTGGAGAACAACATGTTTGAGTTCTTCCACTAATCGGAAAATACCCCGTTCTTTAATTTCAGAGCTCTACACTGTGAGGTGAGCTTGACAGAGTGAGGGAAAAATCACTGGGTATGCGCTGCTGCCACCCCAGGACAGGAAACAGGGATTTCCTGGTGTAGCAAGTTAGTGTAACTCACATCAAACTTTTCTATGCACTGACTCATAGTCTCACCCAACCCAAAATACCTTTTGAATTAACCAACTCTTACTTTAAAAGCAATTAAATCTGAAAATAAACATAGGTAAAATTTTATATTGAAAGGAAGATTGATGATTCAACCAACTGCTACATTGAGTCATTGCCTCTGTGATGGAACTGAGTGGGTGGTACCTATTTAAAAATACCATATATAATGGATTATGGAAATAGTATAAAAGGTAATAATCACATATCTTCACACCTATGTATACTGTTCTTTCACCTAAGGTAGAAATAAATCACTTTATCAGAAGAAGGCAAAGCTGTTTGGTCTAATCACTGATGGTCTTTCGATCTACCTATTGTTATAGCAATATTCCTCCTGACTATCAATATCTGTTTATTGTCTATCTTGGGCCAAAAGCAGAAAAATCGAATCACTTTGTGCTGAAAAAGTTACGCTGAAAGTCCCTCAAACAATGTGTCTTGTCACATAGGACCCATTCTCTTTTCTTTGTAGTTTTGACAGCCCAGCTCTATTCATAAATGACAAAATAGACACCAGAGTTTAGCCATTAGGTTATCCAACATGTGATTTATATTTTTCCCATTACCTCAGTTGGTACCGTAAATGAGTCAGAGTAGGGTTCTATATTTTTTATGCCCAGCTCTGAAGAGAATATATCCTATGACCCTACATACCTCCATGGGACAGCTGATCATAGGATCATTAATTGTAATAAAACTTTCTCTTTGTAAGTATATTAAAAGCAACGTCATGCCTGGTTATATGGCTCAACAACATGGCAAACAACAAAGATCCATTGCCTATCATTGTATATCTCTTGATGCAGTTGCCAAAGCTTACCACCCTCATCTCAAAGTAATGGCAGCATAAGCTAAAGAGACTGAATGATCTTCACATCTTAAAATGGAATTTCCGTTAAATCTGATGGTACCACAACCACACAAACTGTTCCACTGTCTAAGTTGTAGGCTGGAACTCTCTAAAAACTCACAAAATTTTTCTACTATTTTGCTGAGTAAATATGAAATATTATTAAATTCTCATATTACTCAACCCTAATACATTTCTCAGTCAAGGGAGTCTCAGGGTTGTACTTCTGTCTTTCAAGAAGTGTTTATGTCCAGAACAGATTTTCTGGACACTCTCATGCCAATTTCTGAATTAATAAGTTATTAAATAATCTTATCTAAAAATGGAAAGAGTCACTACCAGACTGGTTATGCCTTAACTACTCCAGATTCCTTTGTAAAATCCAAACTCTTAGCAGAAGCAAAACTAATTCAAGTGGCTGAACTTGTGGATCTCTCTTGTACATGTCAATTTACAAGAGGTTACATTCAGTGTTAGTCAATATGTTTTTAAGATAGTTCACAGTTTCCAAATACTATGGAGACTATGAAATTTCTTAACCATCTAATCTTTTCTTAACCCTCTCAGGTATCTCATGTATCTCTATTAAAAATGTACAGCAAATACATGAATTATTTGATGTCTTCATGCTACTCAAAAAATTTTTGTCATGAAGACAAAGTGTGACAGTATAAAAGACATTATACAAGCTAGGGAAAAAAGCTTGAGCAGATCAACATGCTAAACATGCTTTTCTGACTTAAGTCCTTATGCAAGCTCATCTCTGAGAACATAAAGACAAATGCGTGGAAAAGTTCAATAATTCCTTCTTAGATGCAGAATATTTGGTCCCCGATTTTGTAAAGAGTCACTTGAAATGATTGATTTGTACATTCATGAGGACAAGATATAGCAAAGCCAGGACAGCTGTTTGGTGGAGCCAAATGTTCTCCTAGGAACATTTGCTAAAATCCTCCAGAGACAGTGCATCACAGGGTGGACATACTGCCTGCAATATAAACAAACACTGGTGGGGAAACTTTTCTTGCATAGCAGAAAATGGGGCCAGTTCAAGTCTTTCTTGGAACCAATAAAATCCTACAAAACTGTACATGTGGAATATGAACTGGCATATTGTCCCAAGGAAACATTTGGGTATCTCCAAAAGGATCTTATGCAATTGCATTCCCTCCCTGGGTCATAAATATGTACTAGTAAGGATATTTTATTTTCTACATGGGTTGAATAGAACCCATGTAGAACTGTCCCGCCAGAAAACCACAGCACTCACAAGAGTTAAAAATCAACCTGATTTTGTGTTTTCTACCTGTGCCATTTCAATTTCTCTCTATGTAGGGGAGCAAATTTCTCTGGGACAGTCATGTAAAGTTTTGCCCTCAGAAACTTCATTTTTCTTATTACCCTTCTATCCTCTGAAAAGGTGGAAATAACAAATGGAATATTAAAACTGAAATTAGTTACCATAGCAGACATCCTGGAACCCCTATGGCTTAAAAGATTATCAGCCTTAGCTCTCATGGCCCTGCACTCTTCCCCTCATAAAGTCATATGTTGTCTCACTATGAAGTGATCATTGATAGGCCCCTGTAACTCAGAATGTTCCAAACCATACATACTCCAATCTTTCATAAACTGAGCTAGATAAATAAACCCATGATACTCAGTCTTTCATCAAAAGCCACAGGTCAACTTTCTGGTCGTTTACTTAATCAGCCTTTACATGATCTTACCCTAAGTGACTTGGTGCCCTGAAAAAATCCTAAAGAAAAACTGCCATTGAGCTTGTGGAAATGACCTTATTATGTACTATTTATTACCAGTTCAGCAGATAAAGTACATCATGAATCCTTAAATGACAAGAATTGAATAGTTACTTACATTAGATATTTTATCCTGAAGTTCTCCAGAGAATGGTCAGAAGTGACAGTCCATAGAAGATGATGGCCCAAGATCCTTGAAAACAACATATAAAGGCATAAGCAGACAGCCCCATCCAAGACCATTAGAAGAGAATTCTCCTAGATCTTTGGAACCACTGATGGTCATACTCTCTTTTGCATTCTTTGTTTTTCATCTTTTTAGTGGTATTTTCCCACTAATGCTAGAATGTTATAAATTTCTGGTTTACCCTATTTTGTTCTCTTACTAATAAAATAACTTGAAAAGATATTGGCTTTACTTGAAGCAATAACCACACTAATGCTATAATTCAACTCTACAAGCCCATTGCTAGTGCAACAAAGGTAAAGAAGTATTGGATTATGTTACTTCCTGTCAACTCCTAGAAAAGACAAATAATGACCATACCTCCAATAGTACGCCTAAAATGAATTTTGATCAATAAAATTTGTCTTAAAATCCTAGAAAAATTTACAATAGAGTTGATATAACTGGACTTACGTAAAGAACATGTCTCAACCTGACCGTATGAGTTGGTCCAACATTCCCCTGAACCTCTCCATTATCGATTGCTGTAGTATTTCTCCTGTAGAACTACACAAAAGATCTCCAAAGGAATTCAAACCTTGAAAGGATGAATTATTCCTATAAAATGACTTAGAAGTTCAAAACATCAGTCATAGAAAAGAACTGAGAGTGGTGGCAGAGATGGAGATCGTGCATGTGCCCAGTGGCATGTACTTCGTCTCACCAATATTGAGAGTCCTCAAAAAGTTATGTATTGTATGGTTCCATTCATATGACATTCTTAAAAAGATAAAAATATAAAAGAACAAATGAAAGTTTCAAAGAGTTAGGGATGGGAGTGGATGTAATTACAAAATGACAACACAAGGGAGATTTTGGGAGCAAGAAACTCTTTTTTTGTATTATGATTCTGTGTTGGTTACATGAATCTCTACTATATATTAAAATTCAAAAAGTTCACCAACATAACTGTACACAAATATAGTCACATTTCCTGTACGTTTTTTTTTAAACATTGAGAAAATAAAATAAAAGGAATTGATGCAGTTTCCATTTTCCTGGCTGGATTCTGTCTAATATGTATATTATTTTCTCAACTTGGAAAAGAGAAGCACCAGCCATGCAAATAGTGATAGGCAAAGTAACGGCTAAAGAACAAATAAATCAGGACCTAATCCCTGGAATCTGTGAATGTCCCCTGACATGGAAAATAAAAAGGAAACTTCTGGAGATATGATTAAGTTAAGAGTCTTGAGATCGGGAGATAATCCTGGATTATACGGACCTAAATGCAACCATATTTATACTTTTAAGAGAGAGGCAGAGGGAGACTCGATGACAAAACAAAGGAAGCCAACGAGACCACGGAGGTAGAGGTTGGAGTGATGCAGCCACAAGCCAAGCAAGGCCGGCACCCACCGGACCTGGAAGAGGCAAGGAACAGATTCTCCCCTAGAGCCTCTGGAGCAGGTGCAGCCCTGCCGACACCCTGATGTCAGCCCACTGAAAATGATTTCAACTTCCGGCCTCCAGGACCAGGAGAGAAAAAACTTCTGCTGCTTTAAGCCACGAAGCTTGTGGTAAACTGTCAGAGGCACAGGAAACTAGCACACAAACTGCGGTGAAGGTTGAAAGTTTAGTGTTTCTGGATCTGAGCTAACTATTTACTGACTGCATACCCTGGCTAGAGAATTTTTATTCTTCTATTGGATAAATTCTCATCTAAGTCTGATAAAGCAGGTAAGCCAACAGTAATTGCACCCTCTCTCTTCTAACTTGGATTTAAGAAGAATAAACCAATAAAAATATGTCATTCTTCTATCTCGCTCTATTATTATCTCTGAGGAAATGGACCAATCAAGACTCAACTTGCTTCTACTGGACAGGACCCAGTGGTTTTTGCGAGGAAATAATCCAATTCAGTTGAGGGATTGGGCTACAATAGTGACCTTTCTTCTTCAGATGTTTTAAATCTAACTTAACCTAATGACTTTCCCGATAAGAACAAACCAGTTGTCTAACAACTAACAACCATAACTCAACAAGAGGTGTCATCGCTTCACACTAATTGCCAATTAAATCCATCCTGAGAAAGACTATGAGGGACCTTCAAAATAGCCTACCCTTG